CCCCAAATATAATTCACCCCAGGCAGTAACTGATTTGAACTAGAGTGTTTTATTTTGTGATGTTCAAACAAGTAATTCTGTTGTTTTACAAGCATTTGAAAATATTGAAAAATACGCATGGTACGATTTTTTACCTGTTTTTTTTCTATTTATCTGTTTGTTTGATTATCAGTTAGTGATTGTGGTCCTATTCTCATCCAATAGGGTATTGTGCATCGTGATATAAAACCGGCAAATATATTTTTGGTCGGCTCGCCGTACGTGGGTTTGGCTTCGCAACAGAATGCTTCTGATCACCTCAACGCAACAGCCAGTTCACCGGCTGGATCCCAAGTCACACCGAGTAACACGGGTGCAAGCGGTCCTACGCCGGAATATTCACTGCTCAAATTAGGCGATTTTAGCCACGCCTTACGTTTGCACTCACTATCTCACCCTGTGCGAGACGGTGAAATTCGTGAGGTTGCTGGTACGGTATGTTATATGGCCCCGGAAGTGTGCCAGTCTCAATCCCGTGGCCTCGTTACCGGTTACGGACGCCCATGTGACATTTGGTCCTATTGTTGTGTCATTTTGGCTCTCATCACGGGTCGACAACCGTGGCACCAATATCGGGATTCTTTGGCCATATTTTATCGTCTTTGTCAGAATCAGACTCCACCTCTACCCCAGGTTTACCCGGCCTCGACTAGAGGTAAAGGTGCAGAGCGTCGGAATCTCATTCCGCGTGATGCCCCAAGCTCTTCGGACGATGGTTTACCTTATGCCAGTGCCGAAGCGGTCGCACTGCTCCAAGCCGGTATACAACCAGATCCTTCAAGACGCCCGAATGCTGCCGGTCTTTTCCAATTTGATTTTGCCAATTGTCCAGTTTCCTATTTCGGTCACATTGAATTGGCTCACTCACGTTGACCACCACCTCTCGTGCCAAAACCGTACCAACTAAATTCGATACCCCTTCCAACCTGTTCACTGCATGCATCCCCTAGCTCTCTGTCTCTGTCTTCCAATATCTTTCCCATCTTGGTTTGCTCAAACTCTAACCCCACCGCCCTCTCCATCCAGTCCGCGCACAGAGCTACTGTCGTGCTCGTTTCTGTCCTTCAGACCAAGTTCATTTTTAGCTTGCATCCATGCTAACAGGTCTCATTCTATTCATCTTTTCAAATTTTAATCCGTTCCTAACCAGTGGCTTAGAAATTGCGTTCTTGTTCTACTTCTTTTTCTTCTCCTCTCTCCCCGGATGAACCGATGGAGAGTCAGTCTGTGGAACCGTGCGGGAGCGGATTTATCGAACTCATTCACACAGCAGCGCATCGATCGGCCGACTGTGGATTGCTATTTGTGTGGACCAGTGGCAACAACAATCGATGCCTTCCATTATCTCTTTTTGCATCGCTATTCCATTGTTTTTTTTACGAATTTCTTACTGGGGTTTGCTTTTTTATACGCTTTTTCACAATTTTTCGGTCTAAATTTTAAGAAGAAAAGAATAATACTCGAATTACGTTGTGACTTTTTTTGAGTAGAGAACATCTTTAAAAAAAAACGAGTAAAAAATAGTTCATGTCTCGTACTCGTTCTGTTTGTGAAATTCCATCTGCGTTTCGATTATTGCAATCGTGATGGCGGAATAACATGCGGTCAGCCAGAAACAAATTATCCCTTAACTCTTCTCTACAATGCATTTGCCAAAAGTACATGAAAAAATAAAGTTTCAGCGCGCCAACAGTTGTGAATTACCAACTCGCGGTAGATGTGGTTAGACCTCATCCCAGAGTGCTCTTCGAAATAAAAACGATCAGGAAAATGCCATGAGGATTCTGACAATTGCGATGGAATCTGTGTTTGAAATGATGAAGCAACAAAGATCAAATGATCTAAATAAAAAGATGCATATTAGACAGATAATCATTGGTGGTAATAGCTGTTGAACGTGTTACGCTGTTTCTTTGCAGTCCATGCCTGTTATGTTTGCCATTCTATCAGTGAATTCTATTCCCCCCGTTCTGTTCTAACAACCATTAACCATGCACTTTCGTGCGCCGGTTTTTGTTGCTGTCTTTTGGCTGTCCATTTAAATGAACAGTAGGAGAAGAAAGGAAACTTCAAAGCGGAGTCGAAAAGAAAATAGAGAAGTCCAGTGGTCTAAGGTTGCTAAGAGTTTGAGAAGATGCACGAGCGCCACTGGTTGCGACACCCAGCCATATCACTCAGTGTCTCTAACCATCGGTGACCGTCATCCCGAGGTCCCCAGCCAGGGAGCCTATATGAGCCGGTCTTCTGGTTCGGGTTTTCATACCCTCATGCCAGGTTTTCGTTTGACCGCCCTTGATGTTTTTCCAATCCCTACCTGCCTCGGCAAACATCGCTCGCCGTGGCAGCGTATCTGGTGACATGCGTAACACATGTCCCAACCAGCGTAATCTATGGAGGTCGACCACTTGCTCCAGTGGGCGACCGCATTTAACCAAAACTCTGCGTCTAACCTCAGCATTGCTCGTCCGGCTGCCCCACCAGATTCGTGCAATGCTGCGTAGACATCGGTGTTCAAACACCGGCAGTCTACCTTTATCCTGTTTTCCTAATGGCCACAATAAAGATAGACGTTTCATCAAACATTCCCAGTTGAAAGATAGTTGATACAGTGCGAGCATTTCGTTTTGGGCTCCAGAAAACTGTTGGTGGAAATGTGTGCTAATGTGAATAGAGGGGTTCGTACAGCCGTCATTTTCGCGGGAGGAAAATACGCAATAAGAACCCGGACCACTAATGCACCAATCAGATTGCGGTATACTCTGTCTCAACACTAATCCAGCTTCCAAATACATTTTTTGGTTGGTCTTCTTAGTACCCATTCCATTGGATTATGCATTCTTCTTAAAGTCAAGTCAAGAATCGCATTATTCATCCTTCTGGATGGATTCTCAGCTTCAGGATTCATATATTCGCTTAACAGGAACTAAAAATGATTGCGGAATGTGAAGCGACTCGAGAATTATTAGATCGTCTCGTCGACTGTTTCTTGTGTTGAGCGACACGCAGAAAACTTTTTCTTAATCTCATCTTGAATCAAAATGACCTTGAGTGATTCCGTTTGAGACAGGTCTCGTTTGATTGGATAGAATACCGTTTTTCCACTTGCCCAAACGTCCTATAACCCAAACGAGTGGGGTAAGCAGAAACTCATTTAGGTAATCTTAAAATAGTCCCATAGACAATGTAGAAAACGTTATTCACGAAAAAATTACTTTTCGATATATCGCATCAGACGTTTATATATATAATGTGATTTTAGTACAGGTATCTGATTGGCCGATCAAAGCGCAGGGAGGGGGAGCAAACGAATATGACGAGGCTGCAGTGATAGTCGTGGTGGGGATGAGGAGAGAAAGGTCAAATGGACAACGTTAGAGAGATGGGCAGATTAAAATGAAGGTTGTGAGCTAGGACAAGAGAGCGGGATGAAGTTACGTAATATACGGTATAGTCAAGTCAAGAAGCGGCTTTA